TTCGACGTGCGATACGAAATCAAAAGTTGCTCTGTTCACGACGGCCGAAGTTTTGTTACTAACGGATGCGAATTGACTCAACCAGTCACTGGACTGCGGCGCGACGTAAGCTGCTTTGCAGCTGATTAACATTTGCTGACGTCGAATCAACGCACATGCCAGCCCCCCCTCCCCCCTCCCCCTGCACCCGTCCCTCTCGCACACATCATCCGGCAGCACTGTCCTTGCTCTCAGCTGTCTGCTCGGTGGTCGCGCCCCCAAAACTATGTTATATACATGTGTACATACACATGTATGTACATATGTATACGCTAAAGATGCTGTGGTACATAAGGCATAGCATAAATATAGAGCATTGCTAGCTGTTTGGAATTTAGGCTATAACGACTGCTGCATCTCCTAATTGTTTAATTTTTTACTGGTTTTTGCTTCTTTTGCAATTAGCAGCATGTGAATAATTTGTATTTAATTAAATACACACACTTTACATATAAAAAAAAAATTAACAACAACGTTTATTTGGTTAGCTTATCAAAGAAATTACGCAGTCATCGTGCTGTAGCTAAAATTTTTGCCTAGGCATTGTGTAAACACATGGTATGCACATACATAAAGGCACATCTTATGTATGTATGCATAAACACATATTAATATGCATACATATGTATATGCATATACATATATACATATGTACATATCCATTAGCATATGCATATACACATACTAATATGCATACATACACATATACACATACCACAAGTTCACGTAATTTAACTCAAAGCTTATCAGTCAACAGATAAAACGCAGCTCCAAAAGAAAAGTTTGCCAGGGCTTGTGAGTTGTTAAATTTTTGTGTACATTCGCCTATGCCCCGTTTAATTTTTGTAGCCTGCACGTGGCAACAACAAGCCGTTGATATTTACTCCCGTTTTACCAGTGGCTGCTGGGAATGCAGCGTGCGTGAGAGTCGCGTTAGCTGAGAGCGGAGAGAGAGTTTCGGTTTTTGCCGGTTTGGCTGATGCAACAAATGCTACGAATTACAACAGCAGCTGTTCGGCGCGAGGCACAGCTGATGGCTGGGGCTGGCATGTTGCCAGCGTCGAGGCACAGTGCAACATGTTGCTATATATTTGCTTGTAGAGCTTTTGTACAAAGTAAGCCTTTCCCTTGTGAACCCAAAAACTTACATAATAATTTTGTAATTGCGCACACTCTGGTACATCGGATAAAAATATAAAACGTCACAAGATTTAAATATCAACGCGAATGTATGACTATGAGTCATGTGATGCCCTACGTTCTGTATTAAAAAAGAAAGTGAGAAACTGGGCGGAAATTACGCATTATTTTGTGAGAACGCGCAGAAAAGCAAACACCGCATTTTAATCCCAATAACACTTTTACATTCATTCCTTCAGCTTCTACTCTTTAAATAGAAAGCAATGCGAAATTTTTCCTGTAAAAATTGTAATCTGAAGATGTATTTTTTTTTTTAACTAATGCTAATAATTTTTTAAAATTTGTCTACTTCGTCGTAGGCAAAATATTTTTGCGTCGATCTTATGAGTTGGCCCACCTGCAAAATTTGGTGACTAGCTTTAAAATTGTGAGAAAACTGTGCACAAAAACAAATCCACTCCTAACTTTGTGTTCAAGTACACATACATACATATGGCTGTATACATACATATGTACATATGTATATCTACATATATACAAATATGCTCTTCAAACTATTTGGGTTTCTTTTGAACTATGAAATTTGCCAAATAAATTTGCACTGAAGATCAATTCCAAGAATCGTCTTCTGTTTCAGCTTGTCGCGTGCAAATTCACAGGCCTGTGTACACACATGCACATGTATATGTATTTACTATAGATATGTATGTACATATGTATGTGTTTCAGCATAACCATTCATTTAGTCAAGCCTCACATTTTCGTTAGTGAGAGCAGGACAGATGCATATCAACATAAAAATACCATACCAATGCAACAAAATTGAGCATCGATAATATATGTACATATGTGCACACACACATGCATACATTTGTTAGTATGTAGTACAAATTATAGTTGTGTAAGAAACAAGTGCACATTTATATGCATAGGAAAGTGTATGTACAGAAGAGAAAATCAATAAATGAATACATATGTAATTGAATAAATCAAAAAATTTGCAAAAATATGGTTTGGTTTGGGTGTAGGGTCTGGTATTATTAGTAAAACGGGTTCGGCTGAACGATCGGTTCATAGTAATAAAAATCAAGGAATAGCCGATTTGAACCGAATATATTGTATTTACAGTGGATATGCATAAGTATGTATGTAGTTTGGGTGTACTCCTTAAAGTCACAGAGGATCGTAATATATTTTATTATAATTAAGTGTGCAAGGCTAAGAAATATAATAGCCCAAATACATATGTATGTACATACATAATTATGTACGTATAAAAGCTCGAAAAATAAGAAGGCAAGCTTCAACTTACGTTAGATACATATGTACGTTACGTTACATATGTATGTATGTACATATGTATGTATGTATATATTTTATGATCTGGCGATGTCCTTAGGGAGTCCTTAAAGGTCCTTTGAACTGTACTCCACTATTGTTCACTGTGGATAACAATAGGATGTGTATATTACACATCAATGTTCTTTCCTGTTTAGCACCTTGACAGGCCCCGCTTCGTCTACACCGAGCGGGGCCTGGCAATGACGCTGTAGGTGGCAGCACGGCTTACTGTCTGATATATTTCTACTTAACCGGGGCCTCTGCCTGCCTGCTGTAAGTGCGACAGGAATGGCTATATTGTTGTCCGTGGATAAGCAATGTTGTGATCGCTAACGTTGCCGAATTCGCCGCAAGCACAGGGTCTGATATATTTCCACTGAACCGGGGCCTCTGCCTGCCTGCTGTAAGTGCGACAGGAATGGCTATATTGTTGTCCGTAGATTAGCAATGTTGTGATCGCTTACGTTGCCGAATTCGCCGCAAGCACAGGGTGGTTGACGGGCGGTGAGATGAACAATACATACATATATGTATGTATATATGTACATATATTTTGGTTTAAACCGTTTTTTTAGTTAAAAATGGACAATATTCTTTATATTGAATAATTGAATTGAATTAATTCCCATAAAGTATATTTGTTCTTGGATGACGATCTGAGTCGATCGTCTGTGTGAACGCGTTAATCTAAGAAACAACAAAAGCTTGACTTGAAATTTGAAATACATTATGTTCTATATAATATGCAAAATGACTTTATTATTATTTTTTAACCGATATCTCGCCCAATTTCGATAATGGCGATAAGAATCGATTTTGTGACATAGATTTTAAGCATAACTGAAAAGATATATAAGCTAGATACCCCACATTATATGATATATGTATAGTTCCTCGTATAGCATACACATATTTTGAATATTGCATTCTTTCCTCATTCCTGACAAATTGGGAAAAAACTCATTTTTATTGTTTATTTGGGTTTTCTCATACCTTCTCTTATCATTATGCTTAGAATAAGTAATAAACGAGCTTTTGTATGCTTATTAAATTTAATTTATTATCAGTTTAAAAAAAAACATACATATGTTTTTACTTGTTGCCATATAAACATTTATCGTTAAAAAGTTGTTTGGCAAAAAAAAACTGTTCTGGGGTTATTAACATCAAGATTGCCTTATCTTGTCGCACGTACATTCAACTAACTGAAGAACTCTTGCTATTAAATGGGCATTATTTCCAGGGCTTTATTATCTTTATTTTAAGTAGTTAGGTAAAGATAAATTTGTAACATTGATTTATCGATGTTCACCAGAAATATTATTTTTGATTTTAAATCGATTTTTCGATAAATTCCACAAAATTTACGAAGAATGAAACTATTAATTGGATATGGTTTTTTTTTCGTGGCTACCTAATTTCTGAATAATTCTAAATTAATATGTTCAAAAAAAAGTTCGTAATTGCTGTCACAACATTTTTTCCAATAAAAATTATAAAATTTTTTCGATCGTTTCTTAACATAAAGCCATATAGTTTAAGAATGATCAATAATTTACACATTTACACCTTATGGGGTCGAATTCAATGATAAAAAAGAAATATTATTTGATTTCATTTCATATGCATTTAAGAAATTCATTCTAGATAAGAATCTGTCTCTTTCCGTACGAACTAGTCTCCCAGTTTCTATGATATCGTCTTGAGACTTTACCTAGTTACATCTTTCTGTTGCATGAACAGGCCGGATCGGACGGCTATATTATATGGCTGTCATAGGAACGATAGGTCGAAAATACAAATAATATAGAAAAAACTTTTTAAGGGTATTTTATTTTCGCCGAACCGAAGATACTTTTTCTTTCTATTTTTTCTTTAATTCTTGTTGGAACGGGCGTGTTTCCAAAAACTAAGAGACAAATATGTGGCTCTTATAATTTTGAAGTCATGGTCAAAAACCCAGTTCTTAAAATCGATTTGTATCTAAATTATGAAAACAGGAGAAGGTATTTTTTGTTTATTTTTCAATTTGAATTTTTATTTACAATCTATCTTGCGATAATAAGTAAATTATATAATATAAAAATCTGCATGGGGTTTATGTGTGTGTTGGCAACAGGAGAAGGTATGAAAAGAAAATTATAAACTCAATAGCGTGTGGTATATGAGAATATTTATTAAATATTTCTAGTCTCTGGCTTTTGTAGTTTCCTCAGTTTGTTGACCTGATCAAGAAAATGGGGTCAAACATGCTTTCCTCTGTATGTAATTTTCGCAAAATTATTATAAACACTTTCAATGGGTTCTGGTTATAAAAATGGACCAGAAAATAAAGTATAAAGCCTGAGGAGCCAGGCTTGGCGAAATATCACCTAAGCCAACTGTGTTGTAATAAATATGTATGCTATTTTTGATTCAATACAATGAGTATTTATAAAAATAAATAAAAAATTGTTAAAAATTGCTGATCTTATCTTTATGGACTCCCAGCAGGGCATATTATAATTAGAGTTCCCTTCAGTTATTTGAAAAAGTCAGTATCAGCAGGCAGTCAAAGCCGGTCAAAGTGAATGTACAAGTAAACAAATACGAATTTACGTACATATGTATCTATCTGTATCTAAATTAATGTGTGATGTATCTATGTGTGTGTGCCCGGGCTTGGCTATTGTGCAAGAGAGAGGAGAGAGAGGAGAGCACACGCTGAGCTGTTGCTGGCAGAGAGAGATTAAAACTGGAATTGTAACTGGAATTGAAAGAGAGCAGAGAAATGGTGAGTACCAGACATTGAAATGTCTGCGGATCAGTTGGACTCAGGCAGAGTGAGTCGACGGATTGACTGTGATCTGTCTCTGTCTCTATTCAAGTAAGTCGAAATATGCAATTGCGGGATTTACTTGCAATCGTGCTGGGTTGTGTGATCTTGGGCAGCGGCTGCTGCTCGGAGAGGCCGCAAAATGTGCTGCTCCTGCTGGCCGACGATGCTGGCTTCGAGATGGGCGCCTATCTGAACAAGTACTGTCAGACACCGAATTTGGATGCGTTGGCACGCAACGGATTGCTGTTTAATAACGCCTTCAGCTCGGTGAGCAGCTGCAGTCCGAGTCGCGCCCAGCTGCTGACCGGGCAGGCGAGCCATGCCAGCGGCATGTACGGGCTGCATCAGGGCGTGCACAACTTTAATGTGCTGCCCGAGGTCAGTTCGTTGCCCAATGTGCTGCGGGCGCAGAGCAATGGACGCATTTTGAGCGGCATCATTGGCAAGAAGCATGTTGGCGCCAGCTCCAACTTTCGCTTCGACTTTGAGCAGACGGAGGAGCAGCATTCGATCAATCAGATCGGTCGCAACATAACCAAAATCAAGGAATACGCGCGAGAGTTTCTGGCACGGGCCAAGGGCGAGGGTAGACCCTTCTTTTTGTTGGTCGGCTTCCATGATCCGCATCGCTGTGGCCACATCACGCCACAGTTTGGCGAGTTCTGCGAGCGCTGGGGCAGCGGGGAGGAGGGCATGGGCACGATACCCGACTGGAAGCCCATCTACTATGACTGGCGCAATTTGGAGGTGCCCGCCTGGCTGCCCGACACGGATGTGGTGCGTCAAGAGCTCGCCGCTCAGTATATGACGATCTCGCGCTTGGATCAGGGCGTCGGATTGTTGCTGCACGAGCTGCAGGCATCGGGCTTGGCGGCGGAAACTCTGGTTATCTACACCTCGGACAATGGGCCACCTTTTCCGGGCGGACGCACAAATCTTTACGAGCATGGCATTCGCGCCCCGCTGATCCTCAGCTCGCCGCAGCCGGACGCCCGTCGCAGGGAGAAAAGCGCCGCCATGGCCAGTCTCCTGGACATATATCCGAGCGTCTTGGATGCCCTGCAGCTGCCGCCGCCCAATGGAACTCGCTTCAGCGGCCAGTCGCTGTTGCCCGTGCTGCAAAAGGAGCCGGAGCCCGTGGAAAGCGACGCGATCTTCGGCAGTCAGAGCTACCACGAGGTGACCATGGCCTATCCCATGCGCATGGTGCGCAATCGCCGCTACAAGCTCATCCACAATCTCAACTACTGGGCCGATTTTCCGATCGATCAGGATTTCTACACATCGCCCACATTCCAGCAGATACTCAACGCAACCATCCAGAGGCAGCCGTTGCCCTGGTACCGCACGCTCCGGCAGTATTACCAGCGCCCCGAATGGGAACTGTATGACATCAAGGCGGACACTTTGGAGCGCAACAATCTGGTGGACAAGCCCAAATATAGCGCCACCCTGAAGCAGTTGCGCCAGAAGCTCTTCAGGTGGCAGGCGGAGACCGAGGATCCCTGGCGCTGTGCCCCGCACGCTGTGCTGCAGGATCAGGGCGTTTTCAAGATGGAACCCGTCTGCTTGACCCTCGGTCACGAGGCGCTCCAAAGGCCCAAACGTAGGGTGCTCACGCAGTACGAGGAATATGTCGTGGTCTAGCTGCGATTAGCGATATCGTATATATACGATACGATCAAGTATTTTATGAATGTTTCGTGGTCTAGCTGCGATTAGCGATATCGTATATATACGATACGATCAAGTATTTTATGAATGTTTCAAGTACATACTCATTTTTGTATTTTGTCTTATCTCATTCGAACTAAAAATAAACTTTTGGCGCTGATAAGCCCAACGTCACATGCCTATATCAAATTCTTTTACATCTATTAGTCACTCGGACTAGATCGACTGGCTAATGATAAGCTAGGTATTGGAGAGCTGATTAATCTGATATTATTGGAAGGTACATTTTTTTACAATGTCAAGAGAACCTTGAACTTATTTCAAATGTAGACAGGAAAAAACAGGAAAATTATAAACTGTTGTAAGGGTGAACTTTTGAAAGAAATATAAATATGCATCCAAAATATTGCTCAAAGCACGACATTTTGTGTTCAGATTTTTTTCTAAAAATTACCTATTTTTACCTATTTTTCTTTAAAATGCTAATTCTTTTCTTACTGATCCTACAAACATCAATTTATTATTAACAAGAAAAAACGTTCTTCTTCAACATGCCGAAGATTAAATATTTTGCAGATATGTGAGAAGAATTTTTTAGCTCAATGTTGTAGAGTTTGCTGAAGAGAACTTGACAAACAATGTTTCCACATAACAATAGATTTTTGACCGATTTTCTAAAAGATATAGTGGATATAGTGGTTCGATGTTGATAGGATTTAGCACCCTTAAGTAACGACTTTGGTGAAGATTTCTTGAAAAACAAAAAAAATTCATTTTATATTAGCTTCAAGTAGTGCTCCGATATTGATAAAATTTTGTTCCAATTTAAGGAAAATATTAAAAACAATAAATGATGAACTTGGACAAGATATTTTTTTAATTTCATAAAGGAACATAATTTTTGACCGAAAGTTCCTAAAGCAGCTATAAGATAGAGTAGTCCGATTCGTTCATTTCCTACAAATGTATCCTGGAAATAAGGACCTATACAAACTTTTATGTTGCTAGCTTTGAACACGAGAGATTAATTGCTGAAGAATATTTTAAGCAGAATCATTAATTTGCATTCCAAAAAAGACGTTTAAAATTATCTGTTTATCCCTATAAAATGTGTCTTTAAACATAATTAAATTACACAATTTCATTATTATTATTATTTTATTTTTTTTGCCTATTTCTCCCACTGTAATTAGAAAATAGAGAAGACTTAGAAAATGGTAAGCTTTCGCAATCAATTTGGCAACTATATTTAGAAATTGTTCCATCTTTGGGCAGTCAGCATTAAAGGTCGCAACCCCATTCAAGATGAATTCGGCCCACACACATAAGGTTGCCCCGGCGATGGTGGCATGACCTCAACGGATGATGATATGCGCAGCGCAGGGGGTGTTGCGTCACGTTTCAATGTCATTCCAACTGGGGGGGGCGTCCTTTTTGCGGGGTGGGTAGCTTTGGATTTTGGCCCAATGTGTCTGTCCTCCCATTGTGTTTGTGGAAAATCGAAAATCTCAATGCCTCGCTTCTTAGTTAGTTGGCGCCGCTGTCGTCGTCGTCGTTGTTGTTGTGCTGCGTCCCGTTCCCGTTCCCGTGCAGCATCCGAGTCAATGTTACGCAACATGCACATAAAAAGACCTCGGGCCTGGGCCAAGGCCAAAGCGTCTGACTAAGGGGCAGCGGGGAGGGTTGGGAATGCTTGCTTTGGGGTTAAGCATGCAAATAACAAAACGCAAATTGAGTTTTTCTTTTTGTTTTTGTGTTTTTTTTTTTATGATTTTGAACGAAAGACACATTGAAAATTAAATGTATTCAATTTTTTGTTTTTGCATAAATTAGGGCTTCAGTTTTTAGCGTAATTATTATATAATTTGTTGTATTATTTGTATGTATGTAGGTATGTATATATTATTATATATATATATATATTTATTTATTTATTCCACCACACAAATGCACAATTACAATTATTATTGTTTTACTCTTTCCATCATCATCATCATCGGTCTTAGCCAAATTCTCTATTGGGGCCGCCGACTGGAAATGTTCGGCAAATGTCGCGAGTTTTATTTTCGCTTTCGTAAATTTAAATTTTGTTGCTCATTAACTAATTTATTATCAGTAAATATATAATTGTGTATACTTTTGCTTATATACATTCGTGTATGCGCATGTATATCAACACTCTAGATGCCATTATGGGGCCTGACTCTTCTGCTTTTGGATACAGAGACATATATATATATACTTCTAAGCATTTATTGTTAGTAAACTCATTTTGCTTTTGGTTAGTAATTCGTTTTTTGCTATGCTTCGACTGACTTGACTGGTTTTGAGTTGTCGCTTATTTTAACAGTTATTATCAACGTTATAATATCAGTAATTATATGTTTTTTTTCTTCAAATTTTAACTAGTTATATGCTGGTTTTGCTTAGGAGGATTCTGTTACGTTGTTCATTACTTTGCTGTTATTATTATAAATATTATTATTTGTGTTAACGCTGCCGCTTGGTATAAGTTATAATAAATATATAATAATAAATATACATGTAGATAATATGCTTAATAAATATATCTATATATATGTATATATATATATATTTGATTTATATAATAGTTATGTATATAAATAACAAAAAAACAACACACATAAAAAGGAGCAAAAAAGTAGGATACAAATTTTGTTTTGTTACATCCTTGAATTTGAATAGTTTTTTTTTTTTTTTGAAAATTTTACAACGAACAATTAAGACAGATTTCCTTTCAGTTTATATGCCGCCTTAAGGATTAGAGTGTGGGGAGTATTGTTTTTGCACAAATATCAGTAAAGGGTATACAATAATTTTAGGTATATGATTTAGGTAGGTAGCATTTGGTATACTATATATATAGAAATTGCATAGAGAGCGCAATGGAAACATGAAATTACAACGATCAATGAACGAGAAAGCAAAAAAATCGCAACATATGTATGTAAGTATGTAATGTGGATATCTAGCTGATTAATATGTTGGATTGTGACATGTTACCAAATTCTGTTTTTTTTTTTTTTTTTTAAACATATTGCATATCCAGTATCTGTATTTCTGCGTATCTGAGTTAGAAATCGAATTCAAAGTAGACGCGATTGCGGACATTCTTGAATTGGAAACGCATGGAAAGTACTATTAATTTTGTAACATTGTAAATTTAGTTAGTAGTACATACATAATTTAATTATAATTAATAATTTGTAATTATTGTGTTGCCAACTGGTAAGATTTCGCATTAAATTTTGTTTGCTATCGTAGTTTTTTTTTTGTTTTTTGTTGCTTACGCATTTGCATTTACTGTTTCAATTGATTTTGTATGGCCACGTGAATGTGCTGTGCTAGCTAAGCCGTAAACGTAACTCTAACCATATTAATCCGCATATAACCATCTACGTATGTATGTTTTTGCATTTAAGCAATGTGCCAAGCTGCACGCCGCATGACGACGAAACCAACATTCATTCAGTTGAAATATGCTCAATACATATGGATTTAATTGCCATTGGGCAGAGGAACCTGCACCTGGACATACGACTGTGGGAAGTAGCCGGTTCGGCCATTGACGGCACCTTCGTACCAATTATCGTCGACGCGATTGAGTAGCGTGATAATGTCGTTCTCCTTGAAGCCCAATTCGCCGGGATTCTCTGGATCAAAGTCGTAGAGGGCCTGGCAGCAGGGCTGCTGCTGGCGATTAGGTGTGACGGCCATTGACTTGGCGGGCGAGCGCATCGGCGAGGGCAACGGCGAGGCGCTCGAGCTAATGTGGGACGGCGTGCCGTCATCAATGAGGCCGCCGCCACCGCCGTCCAAGTTCAGATCGAGCAGCGTCTTGGGCACAAACTCATTGCGTGGCCGGCTCTCTGCCTCGGCGCGCTTCTCCTGTAGCGTCTCCTGCAGGCCACGCAGCACATCGGCGCATTGAGAGTGAAAATCGTATAGTGCTTCAGCGAAGGTCACGAGCTGTGAGACATGTTCAGTATCGTTTTCCAATAGATTGAACATGCCTACTTGGGCCAATTGCAATGACTCGGCAAACTTGTCCTCAGCACCACGAATTTCATCATCTTTGGCCTGCCGACGACGCTTACAGTCAAAGTCGAGACGCCGGCCCTGCAGCTTCTTTCGATGGTGCATGACCTCCTTTAGGTCTTTGGTCTGCATATGATGCAGAGGCTCCAAAAAGTTCTGCTTGATGTTGTCGTCCAGCGAATACTTGACGTCGGCCATTTGTTTCAGCGCTTCGCCAAATTCGACGAGCGCCTGCGCGAACACGCTGTTGTCCTCGCCGAGCTTCTTACCATAAGTCAACATGCATTCGGCCAGCAGACCCTCGGGCTGTGGATAAGTATTCGATTTGGCCTGTCCCGATAGCTTCGAGATGCCCTTGACGGCGGCCATCTTGGCGCGTGCCGTTGGATTTGGCTGCAGAAACTCTTTGGTCTTTAGCTGCAGCTCCTCTACCAGCTCCACGGTCACATCCGTCTTACGTTCCATATCCTGAAAGTCCAAATCCAACTTGGTGCCCTCCGCACCGCCCATTTTCTCCGTCACATACTGATTCGCTTTGTTGATCTGCTTCTTCAATCCGGCGAAAGCCATCGTGCTGCCTTTGCTGTTAATGTTGCTGCTGCTGCTGGTGCTCTTTGTGGCTTGATGTCAACGACGCGGTTGCTGTGAACGGGTTTGAGTTAGTTGACTTGCCATTTAATGCTTCAATATAATTAATAACCCACTGACTATCAGTAAATAATAAAATTTTATTTGATTTCTCTGCCCAACTATGCGCTACGATTCTATTTTTAACGACTGGACAAACTTACGCGCCGTGCACTTTTCTGTTGGGGGTGGAAACGTTCGATTCTCGATGCTGGGTGCTATTGGGGCTGACACTGACTGAGGCTGCGACTGGAAGAAATTGTGGTAAACGACAGTCGAATAGATTTATGTATTAATTTTGCACTTTCACTCGTTTCGTTTGCGCTGCACGTTCTGTGGTATCTTCACTTGCAGCGTTGACACTTCTTTTTTTTTTCTCTGCTGGCCAAACCTTGGAGTTTTGTCCGACGATTGGCTGCGTAATGTTTGAAGGACTGTCGTTACTACTACTAATCTCCCTCTGCCTTGTCGTTGGTGTGTTGGACGCGGGGGTCGTTTTTCCTCTTCGTACTAAATCGATTTTTTGCTGTGTACAAAAATGTTAGTGATGCAAAAAACATCGATGCCGATACCTTGCACTAGTTACTCACTTTGCGTTTACAGGATGATCCCATGTTAACTAACAGTGCCATTTTAGTTTAACAGACATGTATTAAATAGGCCATCGTCAACCGACATTTCATTTGAAACCGAAGGCAGGCAAAAAAGATTAAAAACACAAATATATACACTATGGAGCTTAATTAAATTTGGAATTACCGATTTTGGTGAAACTTAGTAATTTAAATAAGCGAATTGCCAATAATAAATTTTTGAAATTGCATTTATATTTTTCTTTTCCGCCACATCGTAAAATGCGCGCCATAATTAGAATGTTCAAATATTCTGTTTATCACGTTTGCCGCTATTAGCTTACAGCCGTTGTTCTTTAAGTTGGCGATAGCGCCACCTTGTGGCTAAAAGTCGTGTATGGCTTTCGTTAGAACAGTTTCATGTAAAATGCAAATTTGAACTCACAAAATGATTAGATCCTTATATGGCATATACATTTTTTGAAGTTAAATTCGCGCGTGTGACTTTTAAAGACGTGGTCAACTGAAATTTTTGGATGGCGCTAGACATTATTTATTAGGACAGCTGTTAAAATTGAAATTTCTGAAAAGTACAAAAAAGTAACGGTAGGATTAATGTTAAGTTAACAGAGCAGACAATCGCACCAAAAAAAAAAACTAATAATACTTTATAATTTGTTTGTGCTGTTTTATCAGTATTTATGCACACATGATTTGCTGAGATTGTAGATATAACAACATCAAACACCAATAAAAACAATTTTATCAAAAATAAGATAAAAACCAATACGAATATTTTTGGTTTCTTTTATCGTTTTTTATATGTACTTCAGGTATAATTTGTATTTGTAGTTGTAAATAGATTTGCTTTTACATGTATATCTAACAGATATGTTTACATATTGAGTTCGTGGAATTTCGCAATGTTTGCGCAATTTTTAATTAATTTTTGCTTCAAAACAATGTGCTCTTAGTATCTTGTTGACATTTGGGTATAGAAAAATTATGAATCATTTGCTAAGGTGCAAGAAAAACTCATTTTCAAGGTGGCGCATTTTTCACACACGGACGTTAAGTTCTTTAAATAATTTACATTCTGTTCGTGTTTTTACATTATGTTCGAAATATCGCGCACCAATACTAGTGTAAGCTTTTAAAGTAAATGAGTATAAAATATTTATTTTATTTATTTATTTACGTGATTAAATATTAAACTAAAAAAATATAATATAATAACTAAAGGGAGGGAGTGCTAGCTTCTAAGGCCATCGATTCAAGAGTATAAAATAAAAATGTATTATAATAATTTAAAGGGGGGAAATTATTGATGTAATTGTTAACAATATACCTGACGTCTTTTGGTGAGTCGGCAGTTTTTGGCGACATGCTCGGTTTTATCTTTATAAATAACCCCTAGAGGGGATTAGTCAACAACATTTGATAAACAAACATTAGAGAATGTAAATCAGTTCAATTTCCAGAGCGAGACGGCGCGCTAACAAGATAACAAGAGCAAATTCTGTATACTCATGTGTATATAAGGCCATTCCGATGCCTGACCAGATATTAGTCTCTCCGAAACTACAACGACTGAGATTCACTCAGAAGAAAACGAAATCGAATCGCCTTAAAATGAAATTCGCAATTGTCTTACTTGTCGCCAGCATTGCCTGCATCAACGCTCAGGTGGTAAGTATATTGTTGGCACCTGTTTTGGCATTAACTTGACTCGGACATTTCTTGTAGGCCATCAGTCCTTTTGCGGCAGCCAATCCCTTTGCTGCAGCATATAATCCATATCTGAATGGAGTTTTCGGTGGAGGAGCTGCAGGAGCTGCCGATCCCGCCGGCGCGCCTGCTGCTGCTCCAGCTTTCGGCGGCTTCTCCGTCTCCGCCTTCTTTCAGTCGATAGTGCTGCAAAAGGAGGCCGATCGTCTGCTCAATCAGCCCGACTTCCCAGCCGACCTGGCCGAGCGTGTCGAGCAGGTGCTAGCCGATGCTGCCGTGGGTTTCGCCAACTGCACCAACGCCACGCTGCCGTGGCTGCAAATCCGCTGCGTCAAGCCCGCCCTGACCGCCGCCAAGAACGAGCTGAAGCTCATCGATGACGAGTGGCAGGCACGCCAAGCGGCCACCACCACAGCAGCAGCTCCAGGTGCTGCTCAGGCCTAAGACGCCTTGATTGGATATTCTATAAAAAAAAAAACTAAGTGCAATACACCAGCATAGATTCGATATACTTAAATAAAGATTTAAAAAAGCAGCTAAACTTCAAGTGGACATCAATGGGATTGGGTTGGAGCTGTGTCCTTGACCTGCCAGGCCGGAGCACGCTTTGATGTGGCCACGCATCGCCTCAGTTTCGCAGTTGCCTCAGTTTCCTAGTTGCTCAAGTATTTTGCATAGCTGGACTTTATTAAATTTCCAGAGCTTTCCCGCTTTGGTTCAAGTTGTGCGATTTGGGGAATTTTGCTGCCGTCGCAGCCCAAGCGGGGTGTTAATGTTGTTGGACTGTCCTCGGGATGAACTTGACGCATTTTGGCCAAATATTTGAATTCCTTCACATTATTTGTTCGTCTTTTGCGGCATTTCTGCTTCTCTGTCCCTTTTGCTTTTTGCTCTTTGCGTGAACATTGTGGAAATATTTGGCCGATGGCAGCTCTTTTATGGATTCATCAATTTAGCCATGGCCATGTCCTTCTCCAAATTGTTTCCGGTGCATGATTCTGGGCGTCGAATGTTGATTTATGTGGCCAATGCAGTTTCAATTATCGGTGTCCCAGTCATGTCCGGTCCTGTCCTTGCAGTACCTAGTTCCCCTTTGTATGTCATTTGATGCCAGGCACATGAATTTTAGGTACCAAGAACCGGCGGCATTAAGGAGATTAAATGGTTTGGCTTAACGAGCCAAAGATTTGCCGCAAATGACCAAAAGCTTGCGTCCATGGCAGATTGAGCCAAATGACGCATACGCCTCGTTTGACGTTCCGAATGCGGCAAAGCACATTCAAATTCAAATTCAAATATGTAATTAAATGTAAATTTTCAAAACAGCCGCTGGCCATGTCACACACACACACACACACAAACGCACACTCATATACAGGGATGACAAGGCGAATTACAAGGATCAAGGCGAGTGCAAAGTTTTGTCACTTAATTGAAATATTTGCCCCAAGATTGAAACTTGCGTTCTGTTGTTTGTGTCATTACAACACAAATATGTCAGTGTGCGTGTGTGTGTGTGTGGCATGAACTTTACTAAGTTGTACAGCCAGCCACGCCCATGCAGCGCCCATTTCCGGCCCGTGCCGCCCTGCTGCTAATGCAAAAGTTGCGGCATTTCGGGCGCTTAAAAGAAGCGCACAAAATAAAAGCAGGCCAAATATATGCTAAAATTGGTAAGCATAAAAAAAGGAAAATAAAAGAGAAACATGACAGCGAGCGAGTCCATAGGCGCATGTATGTAAATTTGTTTTTTGGGCTTGCGGATTTGTATGCAAAAGTTGCGCCCCAAAAAGCTGGCAACAGTTTTTTTTTTCTGCGGCCTGGCCAGGACGAGGCGCGCCTCGTTGTCATTCTGGTCAAAACGAAGTTGGCCATTAAATGTAAGTTGGGGGCCGACTGACCAATGCGGCTGTGACTCACATCCGCTCAAGCGCATTTGTGTGCTTTTCTCACCTGATAATAAAGCTGTTATATTTACCTGAGTTTAGCTGTTAGATATATGTGTGCGCGATTAGCTACCTGTACTATTTCCGCTGCCCGCTGATAAGCAATTATATCTGGGTGTAAATTTTTACACGACCATAAAAACTTAATTGGGTTAAAGCTGTTGACAACGTTGCGGCCTTAGATGCTAGCGCGTCTTTACAATCGGCTTTATCACGTTGTCTTTATCTATATATAACAGATAATATCTGTGACTTTGAGAGTTGCTTTCCGGACAGTTGCCAATGGAACGCACACAGAATATGTCGACTGCCACGCTGCTTGTGATCTCATTTTTGGTCTGCCTGGTAAGCATTGCCTTCGATTTGTTCCTCAAAAAACCACAGGATTCCCTTTGCCGCGACAGGTGCAGGCGTACGCCCAGGAAGTGCCCATCGAGGAGACGCTGCAGCGCGGCGTAATGGCCGTGGAGACAGTGCGTCGGGCAGTCGATGAGAAATTGCCGCCCAGCGCTGAGGCACGTCAGGAGGGCACCGAGATCTTGGCCAGCTTTCAGCAGAGCCTAAAGTCGTGCGAGGAGCAGCTAAGGAAAACCCGCTTGGTCTCAGAGTACAATACGTGCGTCAGCACACTTCAGGGCTTGGCCCTGGCCTCGATTGGCGAACTGGCGGGCCAGCATTGGGCCAAATCGGGCGCATCACGTCCAACTCTATTCTGGTAACTGTGAAGTCAAGTGCCGGAGGAGGCTATAAATAAATCCACAATCGAGCAGCATTTCTCTTTACTGGTTTTCTGGGCGCAGGCATTTCTGCAGTGGGCGCAGTTTGGCAACTGTTCGAGCTTAAGATGATGTGTAACCAAACGATGAGAGAGCCATCGAGTCGAGTGGCATTGTCAGAATCAGCACTTGGCGCTCGGCTGGATCTGATGAACTTTTGCCCAAATTGCTGACGGCCAAAAATGTAGCTTGCTGCTCGCTGCTTTGTTGTATTCTAATTAGACCGTCGACTGTGTGGGTGTGTGTGTGTATGTCTGGGTGTGTGTGTGTGTGCGTGCTCATTAGACCAAAAGTGCGGGATGTGTTGGCTGGAGGAGGAGGAGGGGAGAGGGGCGTATGTAACTGAGTAATTATCATCATTAAACGCCAGACGAGGCAGTCAAAGCAAATAGAGCGACATCCACGTCGTCGTCGTCGAAATGTGTGCCAAGGCAGATGAAACAAGCGGGAATTGAAGGCGTGGAACTGGCAGCGGGAGTCTTGCGCTCAAGACTCAAGAGTTCAGCCCTTAATTTAAGTGGGCGCCTTAGCCTTGATAAGCTCTCGTAATTTAAAACGTCGCAATTCTGTAAATAAATACACATATGTGCTAAGTAAATTTTGCCAATTGGTTGTGCTTATAAATTATTAATTAATGCGTTAATGGAATATAATCTTTAATTAAAGAAGGGGTAAAAATTCTTGATCAGAATTCACTTTTCTTCTATTATTTTTACACTTTTGTATCATGAATTGATATATAGAAGAAAGGGTCAAAAAATTGGCCAGGATTAGTTTTTCTTGAATTATTTTTAAGTTTTTGTATCATTTTGTATTCATTTTGTATAAGCTCTAATAATTTAAAATGTCGCAATTTTGTAAATAAATACACAGATAAATTATTAATTATTGCGTTAATGGAATATACTCTTTATTGCAGAAGGGGTTTAAAATCTTGATCAGAATTCGCTTCTCTTGAATTATTTTTTACATTTTTGCATCATGAATTGGTATTTTGTATCATTTTGTATTTATACACATATGTGCAAAGTAAATTTTGCCAATAAGCTGAGCTTATGAATTATTAATTAATGCGTTAATGGAATATAATCTTTAACAAAAGAAAGGGTCAAAAACCTTGACTTGAATTATTTTTTACATGTTTGTACCATGAATTGATAGTTGCATTAAAATTTTTTTTTAACGTTTTTGTGCCTTTAAAAGGCAATTGCATTTAATTGTGTTAGGCTTTTGGTTCTGCCTCTAAAGTGGTTTCTGGGGGATTAGTTTTTCTTTAATTATTTTTTTAATTTTTGTATCATGAATTGATATTTTGTATCATTTTGTATTTTTATAAGCTTTTATCTCTTAAAACGTCGCAATTTTGTAAATAAATTGGAATATACTCTTTAAAATGGATCAATTCTTTTCGCTTTTCTTGAACTTTTTTTACATTTTTGTATCATAAATTGATATTTTGTATCATTTTGTATTAATATAAGCTTTCATAATTTAAAACGTCCGTTACGTTATAATTAAAAACGTAAATAAAAGTAAATTTTTCCCAATCAGTTGTGCTTATAAATTATTAATTAATGCGTTAATGGAATATACTTTATATTAAAAGAAAGGATCAAAAACCTTGGATAGAATTATTTTTTACATTTTTGTAACATGAATTGATAGTTGCATTAATCTTTTTTTTCTCACGTTTTTGTGCCTTTTAAAGGCAGTTGCATAAAAATAATTATAAATTTTCCTAGGCTTTTGGTTTTTGGGGATTAGTTTTTCTTAATTTTTTTTTTACATTTTTTGTATCATGAAATGATAGTTAATCTTTTTTTTACATTTTTGTGCCTTTTAAAGGCAATTGCCAAAGAATAAACTATAATTTTCCTAGGCTTTTGATTCTGCCTCCGAAGTGGTTTCTGTATCCCCAGCGGGTGCATCTGGCTTGGGCTCATCCGTGTTGCCGAAGACGCAAATGGGGCACTGTAAAACAGATTAATGTAGCCAAAATGCTCAAATCGAAAACTAATCAAGGACAGATACCTTCTCCTTAAGCACCAGTCGGTACTTGGGATGGCTTGTGGGAAGTAAGAAATCGAAATATGTGAAACTCTCTTGATATCTTTGCCCCAACTTACCTAATGCCATAGACAATGGGATTGTAGACAGCGCTGGTCTTGGCAAATGTGGCGCCCCAAATGGTGGTCAAAGGCGTCAATCCCTCGATCTTGAACAGGCCAAAGTAACAGATGACCAGATACGGCGACCAGGCCATAAACCAAAGCGAAATCGTAGTCAATGCCACCTGGGTAAGAAATATTATATATATACATTTAAACTGAGTACAGTGAAAGTTCCCATAACGAGATATTGACCGTCGAGGTACTTTTACAAATTTCTTTGTTTTAAATAATTAAAAGGTATTTTTTTAATCAAATAAAAAAATTATCAGATGAAGTTTCTTGTTCTGGCACGAGGTAAGCAACAAACTCCTTTCTCAACGCTTATGGCATAAATATCTCCATTTTTGTCAATTTGATTGTCATCAACTCAAATATGACCAGGAGTTGTCCGGTTATGGGAGCTTCTAGTTTACTTTACTTTTACCTTGGCTAGTTTGCCCTCGGCGCTCTTGTCGCAGTCCTCGGAGCTGCGCAAGGACTTGACGTTCATCTTCTTGGCCTGTTCCCGCATGCCCTTCTCGTGCGCAGCGACGGCCTGCAAGGCAGGGTATTAGACAGGCGGAAAGCGTCACACGATTTTCTTACTTACGGCAATTATAAACCAGTAGGAATAGCATATCAGAAATAGTGGCACATAGTAAACGAATATCGAGTAGACTATCAGATAGGAGCGCGGATTCCACTGCCTGGTCATGTAATCGATGCTGCAGGCGGTCAAATTGCCCTCGGGCACATAGCTGCTCCAGCCGATCAGGGGCATAATTGTCCAGAACGTTGCCATTAGCCAAATGAACAGAATCTTCATGATGGCCAGCTTGATTGTCATCGGCGTTCCATTGATGCCCTTGACAATGACATTGTAACGATCGAAGGCGATCATGCACATCGACCAAATGGAAACGCAACCGAACATCGAGCCGCACACCGCGTAAATATCGCACCAGAGTGGACCCAGGATCCAGGTCTCGTAGTAGAAGTTGACGAGCATTACCGGCGACTGGGAGGCCATCATGCAAAAGTCCGAGAAGGCCAGATTCAAGACGAGCAGATTCGCGGGCGTGCGCAACGACTTGGTGCCTCCAAAGATGTACACAACTACGCCATTGCCGCAGCAGGAGATGATCAGGATGACAAACGTGAACAGACCGAGAATTTTGCTCATTGTCGGATCCATCGGCGCAAAACGGCTCCAATAAGGATTCACGAGGTGCGCCATGTCCGGCAGCACCTGTAAATTGAATTAGATAAAAAAGGGGCCAGCTTTTGTTTAGCCTAATCCAAAAGTGCAAATACAGGAATGAAATGGAAGAGTTATTCGTGACTCTGAAACAAGTTTATGGTGCATTTTAATATGCAGTTTTTTTATTATGCAGGGTCCATTTTATATGGATAATATATACATGATAAGTTATATATGATAAGTTCAGCGTCTAAATTTCAATAACATAGGGCTGAAATATATTTCTTTTTTTAAATATTTATTGTAGATGGGTAAATATGTTTTTATAAACCAAGCTTTCTGGTTTATTTCATTTATATTTTTCTATAAAATTTAAATTAAAATAAATTTAAAATAATTTAAAAGGGCTTCAGTGTTAGGAGTGTCCGATTGGGAGATGCTCTGCCGAGCTGTCTTAGAAAAATCATTCTTCCTTCTTAGTAGAAGGCATTACCTTCAAAAATAATTTTAACATTTGGTGGAACAGGGGAAGGGAAAATAAACTAAATATTCTGCATTTGTGCATCCTTCTGGACGGACAGACAGATATAGCTAGTTTGGGGGATTAGTGGACTGTTGATGCTGATCAAAAATATATATACTTTATGGGGTCGGAGATGCTTCCTTCTGCCTGTTTCATACATTTGCACATATATATATTATATACAGTATATACTGTATATACCCCTTTTAACCACTTTTAATGGGTTTAGGGTATAAAAACGAATAATTGTTAATAATTTAATATTATTTTGTACATCAAAACAACTCAATAGCAATTAAGAGGCACGAGTCGGAATTTCCCGATGCCAAACACCAAATGTGTATATAGGATATTTTGCGGTACCATTTATACATTAATTTTGACCAAGCATATTGCTGCCAGTTTTGGATGCCAAATTGATATGGAGACCAAGCCCCTAACTAAGACCCAAGCCTCGTTCAAATCGGATAATATTGGACCAAAATATGCGGTCGCGAAATTTAGACCTATGTCTAAGTATATAGGATATTTTGGGGTACCATTTTTACATGAATTTTTGAGCAAAAATAATGTTGCCAGATTTAGATGCCAAATTGATCTGAAAGCAAAGCCATGAAAAAAGAGCCAAGCCTCGTGAAAATCGGTTGAGTTTTAAACGCTTTTTATTGTCGATAAAGTAGACCAAGGATCACATGCAGCTATTTGGCTTTTCAAAAAAATTATTCAATTGTATTAAATATAGTTTTATTTGGCCATATTCTAGAGATTTATGCCTCGTTAAAAATAAATAAATTCAGTTTCAAGTCAATAATGTTATAACCGAAAATTGATATAAATCCTACAGTATAAGGATTTATATTCAGCTATGGTAAAAAAAATATATAAAATATATTTTATAACTAATTTTTGCTAAGCACGCAAGAGAACACACACAGCCCAAAACTAACGTTGTCCAGCACGGAGCCATTGTTGCCCGCCTGTGCCTGAAATCTTGGCCCAATTCCAGTGCCCGACATGGCCAAGGCGAACGTTTCCTCCGGCCACAAGTTGCGTACCATGCTCGGCTAAGCG